CAGGTATAATAAGGTGATCATGTGTGTACAAAACTTGTATTGGTAATAACTTTGGCATCCATCAATATTTTTCAACCAAATTTTCTGTGTCGATACATTGGGTTAGTTTTCATCGATTTCCGATATCAAATTTCAAATAGGAGCCGAATGACGTCATCAGTGCTACTTTTTATGTTCAGATTTCAACCCAAAACGCGGAGAAAACGAAAAATAGTAAGGCCACAAATCCCGGTGGATTGGGTAGCCTTTGGGCCCTAAATAAAGGATATTGGTGGATATTGTACATAGATAACAACATTTCGCTGGAAACCAGTGTCGATTTGTTTTACCATACGCACTGTACACATTTAGTATACAAAGCTGTCGTACCTCGGGGTCTGCTCAGACTCACCACCGCCAAGAACGGGTGTTTAGCATTGATATCCAGCACATTCCCGCTTGCTGGGATGTACAGCTAGCCAGTGCAACAGCTCTCATTCGCCAAAGACATTCCCCACGCTCCGCGTTTATGGAGGAAGCTGTCATCGCTGTTTCAAAATAGCCGACATTGTCTCCTACACACAAATGACTGTGCTGTACTGTACAATGTAGTGCATCACACTAGCTGTGTAGTCTGTAGATCAACCGACCCGTGCACGCATGCACTTGAGTAGGGCACTTGACTCCCACGCACGATCGCGCTGGTCACAACTGAGTCTGTACGCGACTGTGCTCGTGTTGTTGTGTCTTGCAAGTGCACTCTGTACTAGCTGTACAGAAACAAGGCAAGTGCAGTTTTCAGTGCATGGACTCGGCTACAGTACTAAAACATTTTGTGGAACAGACAAACCTTCTTTACGATCTTGGTCATTTTTCTCAATCGACTCTGTACTTCAAGCTAGATGTGTCCCGTGGGGTATTGCCCAACTAGAACTGGAGTCCTCACATGCCCCAGGTCGCGCCGAGCTAATCACTTTTGTCAGCAGAACTCCTGATCGCGACTCAACACATTTATTCTGTCCGATGTCATTCCCGCTGCGAGTGGGGAGCTTCATGCGCCCACGATAAAAAAGAACGTCATAATCTTTGAATCCTTCCCCAGAGAAAGCTACTCGAGCTCAAAACGTCACAGGACAATGGCCATGATAATGATTCTCGTGCAGATCGCGATGTGACTCGCCTGCAATCCTCCAAGCTCCAAGTGCTGCCAAAACAGACTGGAAAGAATTTTTCAAAAACAAGATTTAGAAAAAAAGCTGAGCGCTCGAGTACGAGTGCGGCGAACACGGCCAAACGCCATGTTTTCCTTGGTAACATGACGTCAGCCGCATTATCACCATGGCGAGGTGCAGCGCTGATCTTGAAGTACAGCGGCACCAGAAAAGTGTCCTTATTCTACCTGAGCATCCATTCCCCGATTCGCTAGATCTGGACTTTCTGGGAAGGCTGCTGCAATGAGAACGCATGAAGAACTGAGGCACCCGTCTCCAGCAATACAGCCAAGCGAATATTTCCAAAAGTCCTGCAGGAGTCACGCGCGTCAAAGAAGCCGAGCTTTCAGTTCCAGTCCCCTCTCCTTGCTCCTATCGAGCTCGAAAACACTCCTACCGGTCCCTGATACTCTATCTGATCTGAATTGCAATACCACTAAGCAAACAAACACCACAGAACTTTCAACTCGGCAGGCAATGCAAAATGATATGCCAGAGTGTAGCAGCATGAGAACAGTCTTAAGCGAAGATTTTGGGCAGGGGAAGAAAATGTCACCGATCCTTTATGAATCAGTCGATGGGACAAAGATGAAGTGTGCAGGGCTCGCCTTGCACAGCGAGGACAAGAAGCATGCTCATGCTCTAAGCTTAGAGCATGAGCATGTGAGTTTCTGCGGATGGCACAATATTTGGAGCTAGGAACACACCATCAAACTCTAAGCTCTCCCCCTCCCCCCCCCCCTCTTGGGTCTTTCATTAACTTAAAAATCCACCTCTTGAAATTTCCGAGGACCAAAGTCCGACCGCCATCATCTTCATTCACCATTCTGACCTTAGCCATCTAGAAAGAGAGAGCGGCTGTGATCCTGGTTCAGGCCCAGGCGCGTGCCCTGTATGGGTTCCTTGGTGCCCAGAACCCCCTTTTTTCGCTCATAATGCAGGATTTTGCTTCATTTTTTGAAAATGTTCACGGAGAGGCTCCCCCCCCCCTAACCCCCCTTGAACGCCACCGGCGCACGCACCTGGGCCTACAATGGGAGTGTGCAGTTAAGGAGCTCATCGGCGTCTTGTGCAAAGTTTCAGCACGTCTGAGTTTGTCCCGGAGAACGTTACATGCAGCACCCTGTTGCTTAGACATCCGCAGACGGTGGTGACATCCCTACGGCAGAGGGTGGTGTCATCCCTACGGCAGAGGGTGGTGACATCCCTACGGCAGAGGGTGGTGTCATCCCTACAGCAGAGGGTGGTGACATCCCTACGGCAGAGGGTGGTGACATCCCTACGGCAGAGGGTGGTGACATCCCTACGGCAGACGGTGGTGACATCCCTACGGCAGAGGGTGGTGACATCCCTACGGCAGAGGGTGGTGACATCCCTACGGCAGAGGGTGGTGACATCCCTACGGCAGAGGGTGGTGACATCCCTACGGCAGACGGTGGTGACATCCCTACGGCAGAGGGTGGTGACATCCCTACGGCAGAGGGTGGTGACATCCCTACGGCAGAGGGTGGTGACATCCCTACGGCAGAGGGTGGTGACATCCCTACGGCAGAGGGTGGTGAGATCCCTACGGCAGAGGGTGGTGACATCCCTGCGGCAGATGGTGGTGACATCCCTACGGCAGAGGGTGGTGACATCCCTACGGCAGAGGGTGGTGACATCCCTACGGCAGAGGGTGGTGACATCCCTACGGCAGAGGGTGGTGACATCCCTACGGCAGAGGTTGGTGACATCCCTACGGCAGAGGGTGGTGACATCCCTACGGCAGACGGTGGTGACATCCCTACGGCAGAGGGTGGTGACATCCCTACGGCAGAGGGTGGTGACATCCCTACGGCAGAGGGTGGTGACATCCCTACGGCAGAGGGTGGTGACATCCCTACGGCAGAGGGTGGTGAGATCCCTACGGCAGAGGGTGGTGACATCCCTGCGGCAGAGGGTGGTGACATCCCTACGGCAGAGGGTGGTGACATCCCTACGGCAGAGGGTGGTGACATCCCTACGGCAGAGGGTGGTGACATCCCTACGGCAGAGGGTGGTGACATCCCTACGGCAGAGGTTGGTGACATCCCTATGGCAGAGGGTGGTGACATCCCTACGGCAAAGGATGGTGACATCCCTACGGCAGAGGGTGGTGACATCCCTACGGCAGAGGGTGGTGACATCCCTACGGCAGAGGGTGGTGACATCCCTACGGCAGAGGGTGGTGACATCCCTACGGCAGAGGGTGGTGACATCCCTACGGCAGAGGGTGGTGACATCCCTAAGGCAGAGGGTGGTGACATCCCTACGGCCGAGGGTGGTGACATCCCTACGGCAGAGGGTGGTGACATCCCTACGGCAGAGGGTGGTGACATCCCTACGGCAGAGGGTGGTGACATCCCTACGGCAGAGGGTGGTGACATCCCTGCGGCAGAGGGTGGTGACATCCCTACGGCAGAGGGTGGTGACATCCCTACGGCAGAGGGTGGTGACATCCCTACGGCAGAGGGTGGTGACATCCCTACGGCAGAGGGTGGTGACATCTCTACGGCAGAGGGTGGTGACATCCCTACGGCAGAGGGTGGTGACATCCCTACGGCAGAGGGTGGTGACATCCCTACGGCAGAGGGTGGTGACATCCCTACGGCAGAGGGTGGTGACATCCCTACGGCAGAGGGTGGTGACATCCCTACGGCAGAGGGTGGTGACATCCCTACGGCAGAGGGTGGTGACATCCCTACGGCAGAGGGTGGTGACATCCCTACGGCAGAGGGTGGTGACATCCCTACGGCAGAGGGTGGTGACATCCCTACGACAGACAGTGGTGACATCCCTACGGCAGAGGGTGGTGACATCCCTACGGCAGAGGGTGGTGACATCCCTACGGCAGAGGGTGGTGACATCCCCACGGCAGAGGGTGGTGACATCCCCACGGCAGAGGGTGGTGACATCCCTACGGCAGAGGGTGGTGACATCCCTACGGCAGAGAGTGGTGACATCCCTACGGCAGAGGGTGGTGACATCCCTACGGCAGAGGGTGGTGACATCCCTACGGCAGAGGGTGGTGACATCCCTACGGCGGAGGGTGGTGACATCCCTACGGCAGAGGGTGGTGACATCCCTACGGCAGAGGGTGGTGACATCCCTACGGCAGCGGAAAATCCGGCCTCCAGCCCAGTCTAACGTGGACTGTGATTTCTTTGATTTTTTCCTTAGGTATTGCACTAAGGTTTTTGTGACTACAGCTTTCCCATTGGCCACAACAATTTCTTAGCTTTCCCATTGGCCACATCAATGCATACTGTACGCAGCACAGGCAGTCTTTTCGTTGGTGCTGAAGGTTGCGCGAGCTGACGAACAGGTTTTCCTTGCTGTACGGCGCTTGACCTGCCACTGTGGCAAATAATGCTTGTATACTGTTGTGACCTCAGTTCATTGTACTGGCATAATTATGGAGCTGGTGCTTTTTATAATCTAAATTTTCAAGTTTGTCTCGGTTATACTGCTTTGTTGGCCGGTGGGGCAGGATAGGAGTCACACAAGGCACTCAGCTATCTCCAATAGCCAAACAATTTGGCAAAGAAAGGAAATAAAAAGTTGACTGAAGACTTTTGAAGACAAGGGGAGGACTCGGAAATGTTGTGACACACTTAGGGAGGAAACACTCTTTCCTATCCTTAAAATGTACGACAAAGCAAACACTGATATTAAAATGTACAACAAGGCTTTCTTCAGAATTGTTTCCCCAGTGGTAATGTGCAAATTCGCAGCCATTTGACAAGGTTCTTGTACTTGTGTATTTTCAACTTTCTTCTCTCCCAGGAAGGACAACTCGCAAGTCAGAAACATTGTGCGGAGATTGGAAAGTTCTCGAGCACACCAAGACTTTCGAAAAGCTAACGTACGATAATGCCCGGGATGCATGCCGCAAGAACGTCGGGTTTTTCCTGCCAAGCGAGGCACTATGGAATAACGTATTGATGGAAATGAAGACTGGCAATGCTGAATGCAGAGAACTTGCCGCAACGTTTGACAAAATCCCTCTCTGGTTCACAAGGCATGGGAAAGAAAGAGGTTTTGCATTGTTTTCATCGGTTTGTGTGGGTAAGTGGAAGTTGAATCATGCATATCCTGTGTGGGGGGGGGGGGGGGAGGGGCAGTGCGGGGATGTATGAGTGTGTGTGTATGGGGGGGGGGGGGGGTGAAAGGGAGGGGGGAGTGTGTGTGTGTGTGTGTGTGTGTGTGTGTGTGTGTGTGTGTGCCAACCTGTGGGAAGGCTACCTTCTTGCCAAAGCATTTGGAAGTTGGACTAGTTTCGGCTCCACAATCCAGTGTGTCGTTACTATAATAGCTTTCATGGCTGAGGTTGTTGGTATGTCTCTTGGCTCTGGGTTCCTCAGTAGCCGAGGCTGGTTGGTAATATACCGCAAAATTCCGTTAATAAGCCCCGGGCGTATACTTTGCAGAGCGTCAAAAAACGGGCGTATATTTGGGCATGGGCTTGTTTTAGGGCATGGGCGTTATTTCGGACGCAATCTGCAGAAGATCAATCTACCAGCAACCCACTAGTTTCAGTGAACCACCATTCACACTGAGCGCGGTACAGGTACATCAAACCACAGCTGGAAATTTGGTCGTAACCAAGAATGTATGGATAAATAACAGATTTGATAGGTAAACCACTTGCTATGGTCAGTACAAGGCGCAACAGGTGCTGGCATGGCTGAAAACGTCACGCTCGCGCGCTGGTCATTTTGAGTCCACTTTACGCCCTGGGCTGATTTCGGGCATCGGTGATAAACCGAACTTGAAGTGTACCAAACTGGGCTTATTATCGGACATGGGCGTTATTTAGGGTGGGCTTATTTACGGAATTTTACGCGTAGCTCCAATTTCACTTCAAGGTACTGTCTAATCCACGCAAGTGCATCTAGCATCTGCTTCTATCAAAGTAGCGTGCCGTCTATACTGGTTACCCCAGCAAGTGTACGGTGTTCATAGGTAACTGTCTTGGCCATTCTTTTCCGATGTACTCCGTTTGGTGTAGACCAGGTGTGCATAGGGGGGTCGATTCACATGGCTACGCCACTTGTGTGATTAGACAGTTATCTGGCGCTTGTCTTGATCTGTTTCAATCAGAATCAGATCCGCTATCGTTGCTATAAAGAGAAAAGCTGTGGGTACACGTCCAGTGCATTTGCAGATATGCGTGCTTCTCTTGCGACGGGCGTATATAATGTACATGGTACATGGTGTGTGTGAGGGAGGGAGAGAGAGCAAGAGAGACGAAGGAGAGAGAGAGAGACAGAGAGAGAGAGAAAGCGAGAGAGGAAGATAGATAAATACTAGATAGATAGATAGATAGATAGATAAAGAGAGGCAAACAGAGAGACAGAAGCAGAGGCAGAGAGACAGAGACAGAGAGAAACAGACAGAAACAGAGAGACAGATAAATAAAGAGAGGGAGAGAGAAACAAAGAGGCAGAGAGAGCGAGTGAAGAGAGAGTGCAAGAGGGAAAAAGAGAGAGACAGACAGAGGGAGACAGAGAGAGAGAGAGAGAGAGAGAGAGAGAGAGAGAGAGAGAGAGAGAGAGAGAGAGAGAGAGAGAGAGACAGAGAGAGAGAGAGAGAGAGAGAGAGAGACAGAGAGAGAGAGAGAGAGAGAGAGAGAGAGAAAGAGAGAGACAGAGAGAGCAAGAGAGAGAAGAATGAGAGGCCATGGACCTTTGTTGGGTTCTTAACTATTTGAGTTTCAGTTCTGAGATGGTTCTCGAAGATTTCGAACATTATATTTTGCATTCTAACTTTGGATTTCGCTGATTTTCTCAATGTTGGTACTTGTCGGGTTTGTACATCTCAGCTCTTCTTTATATTTTTATTCTTTGTGTTATCGCTGAGCTGATTGTTTAGTAACTGGTGGTGTTAGTGGACATTATATCCTTGGTCCTTTTTACTTTTTATAAATGATCCTTGGCTCTCTATCCGAGTTCATTCTTTTTGTTGTGATTTATGAATACCAGGAGCACGTCTGCCAGGTGGCGCAGTCTCCAGCCGCGGCATTCGCCGAGACGAAGGTGTCAACTACATTGAGGAGAGCGGTAATGTGAAGTGTCTGGACGGCTACCGGACATCATTGCGTGAGAGCATACCCGCCAGGCCATATAAGGGTATCTGGCAGAACACTGCTGGTTGCTACAGTAAGTTAAACCGGATCAGTTAACAGCAAGGGGCACAATTAACTGGGAACAATGAAAACGAACAAAAATTAAGTATGTTCTCGAAGGGAACTCATGACGGCCGCTAACACCCGTTAAACCCGGTAAAACGAGGCAAACTGGAGAACAATAACCTTTCTAAGTGACGTTCAGAAGCTTGGGGCGAACACGATAATTATACTGATTAATTCAGCATAGAAAAGCAGTACAGCCATACCTCTTGAACCCAGCACTTTATGCACCAGTCCCATATAATATTAAATACGATTCCCATATATAAACAAATCCCATACTCAATCTGCGGACAGAACTGTTTCGTCCTTTGTGGACTCGTCAGCGCAGCACAGAGGAAATGAGGCCGAACCTGATAGCAATGGAAAATTCCCAATCAGGCCTGAACGTGCCTAAACAAGTCCCATATATATAAAACAGCATAAAAATAATTTTCAGTAGCCAAAATGCCCTTTTCATGCACATGGCAGCGGTGAGTCAGATTTGTTAATCCAGCACCCTCCCTATTCCAGCAGAATTCTGTCCAATTATAAATGGACCACTGTTTATAAATGGAGTGTAGGCAACAAACTAAGGCCAGGGATAAAGAGTACGAGCTGAATAGACATGCCTTACTCTATTCCACATTCCACAGCCTACGGTGATGACAGTTAGAAAGAATGTGCAATGGTATAAGAAAGTAGAGATTGAAAGAAGGATCCAAACAATTTCTTGTACAATGCTCAAATAGGAGGCATCGGTGTACTTCAGCCTAGCACATTAATTTAAAAGGCAACACAAGACAAATCAAAGATTGCGACGTAAGACTAATTGACAGCAGTAAAAAGCATAAGAGTGTTAACCCTTTAAGAGCCGCCCCATACTTGAATGCAAAACTTCAAAAGATCGTAACTCAGTCCAATCTCGCTCAAATCCAGTGATCGAAATATCCAGGGCGAAGGGAAAACTCTCACCTGTCGGGAGAAACAATCCGCGAAGCGCTGCGAGCAACGGCTCCTGAGAGAAATCACTCGTAAGTTGAGCCGCGATCGCGGCAATTTCAAAAGCGCGCAGTGCGACTTTAGTATTGAGAATTTTGAGACTTTCCGTCACGCTGGTTTACTCAAATTCGCACGGGTTTCACTGTTGATATTGTCAAGAGTACACAGCGAAAAAATTGGAACTCCACGATCGAGCAAAATGAAATATCTGGAGCGGGACGCAATTGGACGCATTTGGGGCATTTTTCGTACTGTCGCTGCGATCTAGCGCTGGATAGACGGTGTGCTGGCTATCATAATCGACCTCATTGTCTTCCTCTCGCGAAGACCTTTCCAGGAAGCCCTAGATTGTGGAGTAGAACTGAAGCTATGATCCAAAGAACACGAAAAAATGCAGAATTTTGAAATTTTCCTGTGGCTCTTAAAGGGTTAATGACAACGATGCAAGTGGCAAAGCAAAGGCAAGTTTACAACAGGCAAGTTTTGCATCAGTAATGTGAACATAGAAGTTACAAAATATCGATGAAAATAAATGGACCACTTGCCGTGTGTACAGATCCACGAAATCCCGTAGAATCCCGTAGACCCGGAAGGGTGTTGAATGTGTGCTATGCAAGCACAATTGACCATTTTCGCGTCATAATTCAATGACCAGCAATCGCTTTTCCAGCTTCTTCACTTTGGTTAGAACTAATGAGTAGCTAGGTCTTTGTTAGGAAAAGGTTTTCGTATGAAATGCCTTCAGGCCCCATTTCTTAGTGGAACTAGCAGAAAACCCAGTAGGGTCCTGCACATTCAACACCCTTCCGGGTCTACGTGATTCTACGGGATTTCGTGGATCTGTACAAATGGCAAGTGGTTCATTAATCACACTCATACCACGAGAACAATGGAAGAATATTTTAAGATTTGAACGTCAATTTCATGTGCTAATCCTCTGAGATCGTCATCACACCGAGAGTTGGACTGCAAACGAAATGGTTTGATGGTACCATACGGTGCACCTTATTTGATCTAAAACTAATCGACAAGAAACACTAGTATTCTAAAGCTGGCACTATTGGAGGCGTGTTTACATGAGCAGTGAGCAGTGTGAAAGCAAGTGTAGATTAAAGAAGTGCAGGTGAGAAAGGCACATGAGTGGGTAGATGGTGTTAGTATGGCAAGTGAAGAGAATGGCAGGCACACAATGGTGTTTTACTACATCAGTTGGCCACATGAAACCATGAACATTACTCGAATGTTTATGTTTGTGGACAGTTAGTCATAACTCGTAACATAACCTTTTCCCATGACTATGTGATGAACATTCGCGCAATAACAATTTCTCTCTGGGTACAAAAATAATATTAAGCTTGTATATTAGCTTGCAAATAGCTTCCAAAATTTTGCAACTGCGATGTTTCGACAAAGGTCTGGGAGCCTCTCTCGGACCAGGTGCTGGACCCAACCTTTTCAAAGGGCAAGTGTTGAGTGTTCAGTTTCATTGAAGGTTTTGTCAGTTTGTCCGCAGGACTGCATCGGCAAGAAAGTGCACTGTCCATGAACCACGGTGCAGTGCCTACATGTACCTGTGTGTCTCTCCTGTGTGTCTCTCCTGTGTGTCTCTCCTGTGTGTGTTTACCGCTGTTTAGAGTATGTGAGTAAACAAGGGGACAGTCTCAGTCGCTTCAGAGAAGACGGGAGCCCAGCTGGCAC